TTGTTCAATCTCCGAATTTTTCAACTTTTTTCTATTGAAAATAAAAAATAAATTTAATGAAACTTGTCATGGTAGACACATCACTGTGGAAGTTCAGTAGGTTAAAAATTCGTCATTCATTTAAATAACGCAATTATGAAAATTTAAAACTTAACGATTTAATGTAAAGAAATGGCAATATAATTGTGCAGATAAAGTATAAATACAAGTTATACGAAAATTGCGAGTAAAATAATGCAATAACCAGCGCGGGACTTGTTCAATCTCCGAATTTTTCAACTTTTTTCTATTGAAAATAAAAAATAAATTTAATGAAACTTGTCATGGTAGACACATCACTGTGGAAGTTCAGTAGGTTAAAAATTCGTCATTCATTTAAATAACGCAATTATGAAAATTTAAAACTTAACGATTTAATGTAAAGAAAATGGCAATATAATTGTACAGATAAAGTATAAATACAAGTAACACGAATGTTACGAGTAAAATAATGCAATAGCCAGCGCGAGACTTGTTCAATCCTCGAATTTTTCAACGTTCGTTGAAAATCTCACTCCCAATTCACTGCTGCTGCACATCGATCGAAAGTTCGTCGTTGATCATTCGTCGCTGAGGAAAGGAGAGAAAAACCGTCCGGTGGCAACGATCGTTTCTCCGCGTCGCGTCGAGGAGAAATATCGCAGTGAACAAGGCGTCCGTTGGGGAAGATTCGGAGCGTTTCGATTCTTCAAGCGAGCGGTTGCGCGGCAAGCGAAGAAATTTATACGATCGTTCCGGGAACTTATCCAGCGTTTCGCCAGCAGAGATCCAAAGGCCACGATCTTTCTTTCCGCGGGCCGTACTGGCACGCGCGCTCGCGCTAATAAAGTAACGAGTGGAGGGCTCCTTTGAAGCTGCGGTTGCCCCTGCGTCGCTGTAACTCCTCGCCTCTTCTCGTTTCTCTCCCTCCCGCCACCGAAAATAAACGAGCCGCGTAAAACGGCGAACCGGATGACACGTTGCTGAAAATACAACCGCGAGACACGGCGAGACCACCTCTCCCATCCCGTTTTTCTCCTTTTGCGTCATGAGAGATGATACTTCGTAGTAATTGCGTGGCAAAAACCGACCACGGTTTTGGGGGCGGGAGGGAGGTTGGAATGGAATTCTTCTTCGTACGGCTAGGCCACGTTTGCCGCGTAGAATTCGTTTTGCATTCTTTCGGGCAAAGGGCGAAGTCGGGAGAAAATTTGGAACACAGCAATTATTTGAGGAATAATTCTGCGTTTTCTTTTTTCTTCTTTTTTTTTTCCGAAAATACGATCCTCCTTGCGGCGACGTAGATCAGACATCCATGTTTAGGTTAGTGTAGAAATTGTACAGTTCTTCACGTTTCGTTGGAAAATCTGTACTGTTAGAGACAGGGATCAATAGTTTAATAAATATTGTAAATTGTAATTCGAAAATTTGGTAAATCTCGTTGGCAAAATTTACGATTGTAATATATTTTTATTTTTTGGTAAAGTGTGCGTCAGCCAGGGAAATTGTTATTCAACCTCTTGCGCTGGGATGACGTGCCACGCACGTCGAGAATATTTTTGTTCCAAAATTGCGGTAATTCTCTCAGTTTTAAGTATATTTAAGTAAAATAAAAATAGGCGAAACGAATAACAAAGTCATTGCTTCTCAATCATTTCTATCCAGCGATATTCGATACCGACGAGTTCAAAAAGAAAGCGACCAATTATCGTATACTGTCTGGTCGCTCGTTATGGTCCGCAATCAGTCAGCGCAAGTGGTTGATAGAAGAAGGAGAAAATAAAATATTTTGGGCAGGAGGAATTTCGCGACTGGCTGTATATAAATATTCATAACAATTCGAAAGAGGTGTCTTCTTTAAACCAAACTTTCGTGTTCGAAGCCTATTCGAAGCTCAAATCACTCGACGCGAAACAATCGAAACAGATCGAAACTCCTCGAAACTTCTCACACTGCCGCTAATTAAAAGACAATTCGCACTTTCTTCTTTCTAATTAAGAGAGTATCGAACGGCAAACGGAATGGAATTCCGACTCGTTCAATTTCACGGAACGCGTGGAAGGCGGCTTCCGCGATAATAAAACCGTCGTGGCACGTCGACGACTCCTAACGCGTCTAAGTTCGGAAAATTAGTTTCACTCGTTGTACGGGGGCACGTATTCCGTTTGATCGATGGTCTTTGTGTTCGCGACATTCTTGCGAATGCAGTTGCACGAGTTTAATAAAATAGAAAAGAAAAGAGGGAATAAAAAAAAAAAAAAAAGGAAAAAAGAAACCTAAGAAGCGAGGAGATCGTCACGGGGAGAAGATTGATAGCAATGGTTACTGGTTGCTTGGCAGCCTACCAATCCTGGTTGCTAAGTCGTCGACACTTGTTTCTCCTTCTTTCATTCCTCGTCTGCCAACTTTTCAAAGTCGGGTGCTCCACGACCGACGAGATAGCCTCATTCGTAGAAGAAACGTCTCACCGCGTGCGTTCTTGAACAGCGAACCGTGAGAAAGATGGGCCACTCCTGGGAACACAGTAAATCGAGACTCGTTGGGAATCGAATCAGCGTGAGATGCGCGTTCGTTAGCGACCTACCTTGGATTAGGAAACGATCCTTTTTTCCATTTTTCCATCGGGAATGTAACGAAACACGTCGTCAGTCGCTTGTCAGTCGCTTGAATTGTCACGTGTTTCATTGTCCCTATTAGTATATTTACGTGCATTTAACTCCTGCATAGTTTTTTGGTTACGATATAACGACGGACATGTTCATTTATCAAAATATTATATAGCAGCGAGAGAAGCTACTATATAGCTACTATATAGCTACTCTTGATCGTGTAGTGTATCTTTTACGACTGTTTCGCGACTCTTCGTTGAGCGTGTTTGATTTCAAAATTTGACTGTAACAAGAAAACCATAACTACTTGAAGTAGGTAGTTTTCTTTTTTTTTTTCTAGATCTAAATTCACTGCAACAGAATACTCGAATATTTTGTGTAACTTTGATTTTGAACTATGAATAATAGAAAAAGGATTTCAGGGCAAAGATTATTTAACATATCCATCAGTTAGGTATGCCAAGTGGTGAAAGGATCTTTTCTAGAATTTGACTTTTCACGCGAAAGTCTTGAAATCGGTATCTGAGTAATTACGAAACGGCGAATTTCACCTTTCTTGAATGAGCTTGGACAGGCCGTTTCGTAAAGTTTTCTTCGTCATTTCACTTCGGAATTTCCCCGAGTTGAGAATCTCGGAAAAATATTCGGTTGAATCTTCCCGCGCAGCTGGACAGTGGTCGATATCACTGTAGTAGCGATAGTTTCATTTGCAAACGATTCGGGATTTTCAGTTGGAAGAGGAGAGTGACGTGGACGGCGGCGGCAACGAGGCCACGATCTGCAAACGGCAGATTAAAGGATCGTTGAACAGCACGTGGGCGGTCTGTCGCGTATATTCCCGTGGTGTATGCATTTAACATTAGGCCCGGGGCGCGTATGCACGAATTGCAAGCCGGCGAACCACATGTCGACACGGCCGCATCTGGTGGCCAATGAACGGCGGTGTAGACCGTAAATGGCCAGGAAAAAGCTCGGTGCCGCTGTCTGGCCAAAGTATCTCGCCGTTTTCCCTCCGTTCTAACCGACCACCCTAATTACTCAGCAGAACTCTGGCCACGCTCCTCCGGATTTTCAAACGTATCCTGTATTCCTATCGGGCGAACAATCGTTCCGTTCGGGCGATAAAGGACAATAGACGTAGAGAGATTTACTCGTTCGAATAAATATATTACGAGATTTAACGAGAAACTATTTATTCTAATTTGCGTATAATGAGATCATTGTGACAACTGTCCGCTTCGTTGTTGATTCTTAACAATTGAGAGTACAATCTATTTTCTGCTATTTTTATTTTCTTCTTTCTTCATTTGTAACCAACGTCCTCGCTGTCAGGCTCGTTTCGAAGGCAGATGAAATTGAAAAATACGAGAACGAATTGTTGTCAGTGTGTAACGATAAAAATCCTTCTGTGAGGTTTGTTTGAAAGTTTGTGGAAACTTGCGCGTGGCAGGGTTAAATCGAATACACGATGATAGATGAAACACAGAAATACCAAAATTAATGTACTACCATACTTAATAGATGAAACGAATCTCTGTCTATCTCTGTTCCTTTTTAAATTACCTCGCCAAAGACACGACAGCCTGCATAAATGTTCAGTCAATTGTGTTTATTCATGAACCTCTTTACTAGAAATCCTCGTATTAGAATAATTTCATATTCATATTAGTTAATCGATTCTCTAGTGGATGACGCAGAAATCCTTGATCATTTATATTTTACGTTCGATTGTTACTGCTTGCATGATTTACCAATGTCAATTGTTTCGAACCACGAGTCGAGGGAAAGAAGAGAGAGAGAGAGAGAGAGAGAGAGAGAGAGAGAGAGAGAGAGAGAGAGAGAGAAAACCAAAAATATTCAGTTTCTGAATTCTCGCCTTTTTCGCTGGCCATTCCAAGGCGAAAAATTGTTGCGCGTCGCGGCTGCGCGTAGGAAGCCATCGTTCGACGAATGCATAATTTCGAGATCGATATCGGCTGCGTTGGCACACACGCGTGTTCACGTACGCGCGGTTGCGCAACACCGCGGACAGCCACAGAGAAAAGGGAGTGAGGGCTTTCGCGCTGCCTGACCCGGATGGACACCGATCCCTTGTACATCGTCTCACCGATGGCGAGACCGGCCACAACTTTTGAATGAGCCTCGCGGTCGCTTATAGGTTAGGTGACTCATCTACTGCGGCGATCTACCGCGCATGCGCAACGCTTCGTGTCACACTCCCGTGAAGTTCCCAACGCCAATTTCTCTCTTTTTTTTTTTATCAGCAGTGTTTTCTCGCTTCCCTTTCTACAAATGCAGAATAATTAACAAGGAGATGGGCCAGAAATCACTTCCTGCTAAAATAAACTTTTTTTTCCCTTTCAATTTGAAAGAAATAACTTTCAAAAATGAAGGAAATCAGAAGTTAGAGGTTGAATTTAATTTGAAATTAATGAAATTAGTTTGTCCTCAAATTTTCGATGTCTTATTAAAGGGGAATAGATGGCGATGAAACTTCTGGCCATAATTCAACGGTTTTTGATTCAGCGTACGTTCAATACGCAATACGGTAGAACAGTTCTCGGGGGATTTACAATTCTTCGCGGAAAATTCGATTGATTTATCGTAGAAAGAGATTATGAAAATGAATGTAAATTTATTGTTTCTAGTTGTTTCGCGAACGACGGTGCGGCAGGTTAATTAGCGGTAACCTCTTGAAAACTACCCGCGCTGGATGACTAAGATTAAACCCGCAAAGGAAAATGGCTCTAATCTCATGTGTATTCATTGCACCATATTCGTAGTTCATGCGTATTCATTCTTGCAAATGGAGCGCCGAAGGCCTTGCGGACACTGTTTCGAACGTGAATACAGTCGCGTCCAAAAATGATGGAACGTCGTACCTCGATTTTTCGTGCTTCTCAAGAAAACGAGTGACACGTGCCGAGAAATTTTGTTTTCGGAAATTTTCTCGGCAAAAAGCATCGTTTTCTCAGTAACAACGAACGCTATAAAACGACGACCATATGAAATTACTATCCTCGGGCAGTGTAACAAGACGCGCATATTATTCAAATCAGTGTCTGAAGGATATTATACAAGTCATGTTTTAAATTACAGAATGAATAATCAATGAACGAAATTGATTTCAGTTAATTGATTAAATAAACGGAATTTAATCACTGAATAATTATCGCAACGAATAATTGCAACGACACGGTATTTTTTTTTGTTTTATTCCATGTAATGATTTTACTATATATACTATATTTTATTATATATATATAAAATTATATTATATATAAATTATATTATATTTTATTATATATATATAAATAAAAAAAAATATGTATATAAAATAGTGTTATTTGTTAAATCGTTACGCGGAATAAAACAAGAATATATATCTGCATAAAATAACGTGTTTTATGTAAATCGTTGTTCCCTTCGCGAGGACCTGTTATTTTCGCGTCTATCGTTTTCAACGGCAACGAATTTCAATGAACGAGCAAACAGACTCGGTTGTAGCTGTTCGGTTCGCCAGGAAGTTTCCTCGGGGCGAGGAAATTATCAGGGAATTCCCAGTGTACGGCAATGAAAACGCACAGTGGCTGTGAATTTGTACACAGGTGGACGGCGATCTCGAGGCAATTAGAGATGGCTATATTCGTTTCAGTTTAAGCTTGGCTCGCTCGTTTCACCCACTAGTTGCGGAACTCGGATAATTATTGTTGCCAACTAACTTTCCGTTTGCACGATCGCGCTTTACCTCCCTCTCCGCTCTCCACCGACCATAAATTTCCATAAATTCATATGTCGCGTGAAATATCGTGTCTTTGCTTGCATCGCGAAACGTGTTCTTAACGACACGGTTTTCCTTGGCCTTTGGAAGTAGCAGAGTTCGATTGAAATGTTTCTTGGTAATATGCGCGACTGATCGAGCTGTGTAGCAGTTGCTTCTTACGATTTCTTTAAACTCAATATTATTATAAAACAATATTATTATAAAATTATATAATATTAAAATAATAATTATATTATTAAAAAAATAATTATTATATTATTATTATAATATTATATAATATTATTAAAATAATTATTATGTAATTATATAATATTATTAAAATAATTATTATATAATATTATATAATATTATTAAAAAAATAATAATTATAATATTATTATATTAAAAAAATAATATTCATAATATTGTTATAAAATTATATAATATTATTTATTTGCAATCGGATTTCAAAGTTTTCAATAAAATCCGGAGAGATCCACCTTAGCAATAGAAAAACGTAAGTATAACGAGTTAGTATCATCGAGTTATAGATGCATCGTTAAATTCTATCGTCACATTATATATATTAATGTATATTAATCACGTCACTTGATACGATTTCACGAAATTCGCAATCACAAGTACAGATGTAAATCATCTTCAACTTGCTTCAACTTTTTCGTGCATTGAAAGAAAACGAGAAAAATCGTAGAAACGAATTTGAAGAAAGAAAAAGAGAGAGAGAAAAACAATACAAAGGTACGTAAACGTGGTTGGACAATGAAAGGAACGTAGCCAGTGGCCAACTAAGTGTTCTCCTAGTCTGGTTCATCGATCGCCGGAGAACATATCCAGAGATTAATTGCCTCTCTCGGCTCTCGCCGGTCGGAAGCATTTTCCAACGGACGGTCATCGATCTTGCGGATTTTACGAGCCGTCGCGGGATCTCCTTTGGTCTTTGAAACCGCTGCTTTTAAGGAGCGGCTCGTAAAGAGCCGTTCGAGGCGTTTCGATCCTCCTGCTTGGCTCGGTCGTCCGAGCTTTTCTGCTAGGGAATTTTATCGCGAACGATCGGGCAGCAGCACCACCGCGTTACGAATATTGATGACGGGCTTGAGACCCGTTCCAGCAGGAGCCCGCCTAGGGGATAACCTGGCTTGGACTGGTTCACATTTCACTCGTGAATCGATCAGCTTCCCCTTAACCCGTATCTCGGATTGTCGTGCCGCGATTCTCGCCCTCTTCTCTCTCGTTGAAACTCGTATTGGGAAGGAAGTGCACGTTGAGCATTTAATTAACGCGATGGATCAATTCTAACGTTGTTCAATTTCGTCGAGGAATTTTTAATTCCCAGTTTTATTTTATCGGGGATTAATAAATATTTCTGTTCATCGCGCAGGAAATTCGTTCTACGAGTTGCTTCTTCTACGATCGAATTAATCGTGCAGCGCACACGTAACAAAGTAATGTTAATTAACGCGATGATACGTTGGCAATCTCGTCGAGGAATGTTTCATTCCAGAAAATTCGTCGGGAATTATTTTGTTTCTGTTAATCGTGCAGAAAATTCGTTGTACAAGTTATTTTATTCGAGTGTAATTCAATTGGAAATAAATTAGCAGTGAAGTCGGTGTACAGGTAATAGATGAATTATAGATTTTTACGCATTCATGGAAGATTTGACGGTGCACAGTTATGCGAATACAGTGCATACTCTGTAACAGTAGTCAAGTAAAAAAAAAAAGAATATTTAACATAAACTAAAATATTCGAAACGTACGCGATACAACACTTTTTTTGTTCACTTAAATATTCTTAGTCTGTTAATTAATAAATTAATAAATTACTGTTTCGTTTAAATTGTTACAAGCTCTTGTCTTGTCCGAATTCTCGGCTTCTTCTCTTATATTTGTGCACGCGTATTCGAAGAAAAACGATGTATTTAAAGAAAAAGTTTCGTTCCAAATAGAACGAGAATTCTACGAGAAAGAGAGGGAGAGAGAGGAAAGAGAAGTATTCTCGCGAGCAAGCGATCCGATTCGTAGATTACGACTTCTTGATCCCGAGGGCACGCTACCCCTTCGAGACTGTGGAGTGTTTGGCAGTAGTTACCGCGGCTAGATTCCTCTCCTCTCTCACCCCCGTCGCGTCTCGAGCAACTTCACCCGAAACTTCGTCGAACTAGTTTCTTCTCCAGTTCGTCTGAAGATCTTGGAATGTGCCAGCCCGTGCAAACATTCTCCCTCGCCTTACGATAAATTGGCCAAAAAGGGAAGTTTTCCTTAGGATACGTCGGAGGAATTTAATAAAAATGTCACGGTTAGCTTGATGCCGGACATGAAGGGTTAAATAGAGCGATTGTTGATTCCGTATATGCTGTGTCACTGTCTGTGTCATTAGTTTCGTCGTTTTTTTTTTTTTTTTAATACGTAGATATCGTTTGTGTTTAGAAAAATTTTCGTAAGAAAACTAGGCCCAGTGACTCAATACATTTTCGAGCCACCGATCATTTCATTGAAAGCGATACTCTGAATGATAAATATACTTTGTAAAATAATATATTGCAATATACTTGAATGAAAGAGGTAAAGATACTTTACATCTTTTTGAGGGGAGGGAGATGATTGCTCGTGGAAAGCTTCATAACCTTGATCTTTTCTAATTTAAGCGTCGTTACGACTTGGAAGACGAACGACGTAACGATCCATCTTTCCCGATGGAAGATCGATCGGCCCCGGGAGCTTGAAAAAATACACACGTTTCGCGGAATTGGCTCTTCGGAGAAGCTGTCTCAACGATCGAATATAAAACTAATAAAATAAAAAAAAATAATCATCGTTGTTACGTCACCTTCGCCAAGATAAACAAGTTTTGTTTCTTGGTAATCGAGCGCGAATCACATTGAACTCGAAGTTCTGTAATTTTTTAAAAAGCTTGGAGGATCGAAACAAAATCTTCTTCGTCTTTTCGATCGTAACGAGTCGATGGACAGGATTCTTTGACTTACCTTTAATAAAGAGGGATCGCCGAGTTCGCAAGTTGCGCCGCGAGGAAAATTAAAAACCTACAAACTATACGCAAGAAATACAAAATACAAAAATACAAATTAATTCCCGCGTTACGATCAACTACTGGCGATCACGCGAGAGTGACTCTTTAATTTCTTCGCCGTGGTTTAAACCAGAGATTGCTGACTGGCGGCCTGTGCCCCCACCACTTTCCTGATCGCTAGCGCCATCCCCTCCACTGCGTCGAGAGTGTCGCAGCCGCCTCACGTCAGCTATGTATTTACACGGATATAAATCGTTTTCTTTAGATACCAAAGTTAAAGAGAAGATAGTAGTTTGTATGGCCCGTTTGAAGGAACTGGCCAGCTTTTCTAGTTTTGTACGTTCGAACAACGAAGCTCGAAGCTCACGTCTGAGCGAGCAACGGCTCCGAAAGCTCAAATTTGAACGTCAGTTCGTGCTCGAATGATCGTGGGACGTGCACGAAGCGGAGATCTCCGGTCGTTGGAAACTCATCGATATCTATCCGTGCGGCACCTGCTACCCGCCGTTGGCCATCGTTCGGGATCGCACCTGCGTGCACGCTCCGAAACAAACCCTGTCTCGTACGTGCTCGCAGACGGGAGGTGTGCGTCGGAATCCGACGACGAGAACAGCTGCTCCCGGGGACCTTTGGCTGGTTCGGCCGATTATGCAATCGTCGTGGCGAAGCCGGAAGAGAGAGAGAGACAGGGTTCACAATCGGACGCGTACGTTCGGCCATTTAAATGCGTTGTTCGCGTTCCAACGCGTTCAGGTGTAGTAGGGCGCGTTCTAGGGTATAAACACCGGGCTCTCGGATTCGTCGGTAATCTCCTTTGTACGTGTACGGGTGAAAGCGTTAGGTCGTTGGCCAAATGAGTCTCGAGGCTTTTTATTTTGGTTTCAAGGTTCGTAGTTTAATTGGATCTTGGATCAGAGCTTGGGTGTTGTTAGGTTTAGAAACGAACGAGACTTTAGGTTTGGGAGATTTTACATTTTGATTATCACGGTAATTAACCCTGACTGAATTAGCAAGCCAGCAGGGTTCGTTAGCATCGTACATCAGATTAGATTTCTTTGAATATTATGGAAAATGCGCAGTGTATCTGTTAACGATATGAAATTTGTAAAATTCTCCTGCAAAAAGAGGATACGTTTTTCTACGAAAGTTATCTGAAAAATAAAGGATGAAACATAATTTTATAAGTAAACTTTTACAATGAAGTCAAAACTTTTGTAGCAATAACAATGTAATAATGTTTTATATGAAAAAGTTTCATATGCCGGACTTTACCGTGTATATTTTCATGCTCTTTTAATTAAAAGAAGCATTACAGTGTATTACAATTAACACTTTGTTCCGAATATTTCTCTAAAAAAAAAATCTGTCCACGTCGGAAATTGTGGGATTGCCTTTCGTGCTTTTCCGAGGCGCACTGTTCCACAACTATAATCTTACTATCCGAAAAGAATCATCAGGGGGGGGGGATCGTCGAAGGGAATTCGGAGATTGGAGAGAATCGATAGGCACGATCGAATAGTAATTTGCACAGGTGGGCCGATAATCGTCGGCTCAGCGGTGAGGGAGGGCACGGCAGAAAACCGAAAGTGAGATTAGCTTGGTTCCGGCTGGCAGGCCGCCAACTTCTCTCTCCCCTTCCATTTCCCCCTTTGCTCAGTGCCCGGTTTTATTGAGCTCACGCACGCACGCACGCACGCAGACAACACCGGTGGATTTCGCGCGACCCGCTATTCCCGTACATCCGGGTCTCGGGCTCCGACGGATATATATCGAAGCACAGATACTCCTCTCCTTCCCTCTCGTGCCTCGCGTTTCGTCTCGAATTTATCTGCCAGACTCGCGTCGTTCCCCTGCCTAATGTGCCTGTAAATTATTATCGTCGTTCGTTTTCTTATTACTGTTGTTGTTTTCTTATTACCGTTGAAATGCTTTACGGTATGACTCGCGCAAACTTCCATTTACATTCGTCTCGAAATTTCTAACAAGACTTAGAAATTGGCCACTCTGATAGTTCCAGTGTTGGAGTGACTCTAGAGTTAACTCTCGTCGTTGACCAGAAATGGATTCACGAATTAATCGGTTTCGCAAGGTCGGGCAACTCACTTTGGGTTTGAAGTTTTCGCGGGAGCCTCGTTAAAACGTGCTTCTAGAAACTCTCGTACTTTTCACTTCTCGCTGTTTCTTTCATCGTTCACCCGTGAACGCGGCTCGCCGAACAGCCGATCGATCGGTACCCTCGTCTTTCACGGCGTTCTCCCCGAAAATATAAATAGACGGAGGTTTCAAAGGGGGCCGGAATGCAGCGAAAACGTCGGAGCCCGAGATTTCAGCAGCTCTTGTCCCCCTTTGGCCGACGGCCGACGTTGCTTTGAACACCGAGAATAGAACGATCCGAAATATTTTCGGGTCCATTGAAACGTGTTTCCTTGATTCTCGCGACGATCGGAACGAAACGCGCGCGCTCGCGATTATTCGTGGCTGTGTGCTACTTGCACGATCGAGCTTTAAACTTGATGGGTATTCCGAGAGGAGATGAGATTTGTTTCTGTTGCAATGGGCTGCAGACTGCAGTGACTGCTACTTACGTAACTCGTAATCGTGCGTGATAATTTATTATTATTATTAATAATTTAATATTATTATTATTAATCTATCATTATTAATTTAAATTTTATCTGTTGATGATGAGATTACTTGTTCTTCATCTCGATGATTACTTGTTGAAATCTATCGAGCCTCTTCACGTGGTCACGATTACTCGACGCAGTTACCAAATGATTTCCAAATTTAAACAATTTTTTATTTATTTATTTTTATTTTTTTCTTTATTTAAACGATCATCGTGGTGTGATAGTCATTTTTGCTCACTGCGTCAATTTGATACCAAGTTGAAAGAACCTAAAAGAATTATAATTCGATACTCGTTTGAAATTTAATATTGAAAAAATTAGTTTCACACACGTTCGAGATCGGCAATCGCCATCTAATTGACAGTAATTTCCAAATTTCGATACATTTATTTCTCCATTGTGGATAGTCGGTTTTCTCTTGTAACTGCGTGAATTTGACGCCAAGAGACCGATCAACTGAAAAAAAAAAAAAAAAAAATTGTATCGAAAGCAATTTTGCATTTTGGCAACAGATTGACACGAGTGTGTTTCCCGACCAGAGAAACCTGTCTCCAGTCTAGTCTGCGGAAATTCCACGTAACAAAACTTTACGTAACGAAACGCGCGCGTAAAGAGGCCCCGTTAGAAGGCGGACGTGGAGTGGAGTTGTTGGAGCACGTTTGTCGACGACGTTGCAGGGGTTAAGTAAAAACAAAACGCCAACTGCCCCGGGTGGGCAGTAACGGTGATCGGTGGTAGACGCGCCACCCGATCGCCAGCTCATTAAAAGGCGCATCGTCCCGAGCCGGCTAAATGCATCTGCACGCGCGTCTCGCAGCTGCGCGCGCGCTTTCGCGTGTGCATTATGCATGCACGCGTTGCCGGGCGACGATGCAGAGAGCCCAGGCACGCCCACCGTTTTCGCACTCGCGTCCGTGCCTCTCTTCTTTTCTCTTCCTCTTTACCTTTTTTCTTTCTTTTTTTTTTTTTTTCTTTTTTTCTTTTTTTTTTTTTCTTTGCGAATTGTCAAGTTTCTACGTTTTTACTTTCCTTCCTCCTTTCTT